GAGAGAGAGAGAGAGAGAGAGAGAGAGAGAGAGAGAGAGAGAGAGAGAGAGAGAGAGAGAGAGAGAGAGAGAGAGAGAGAGACATTGGGATTCAGACTCGACATTGGACAGAGACGTTGTTGGGGACTGTTTGGGAGTGATATCAGCGACATTTGGGTTGATGACATTCTCATCTCCTCCCCCACTCTCCTTCGTCTCTTCCCCCTCCTCCTCGACTGTGTATGAGCTGTGCCTGGCGCCTTCGTCCTTGTGTGTGGCGCCAGGCCATTCACACTGTGATGATGATGATGATGATGATGATGATGATGATGATGATGTATGTCCAGTCTGCATTTCGACATTGATTGGGTCTGCTCGTTGGTATTCCAGTCTTCGGCTGTGCTATCTTGCTCTATCTGTGAGAGGTCGGTTCCTGGTTCTGGTCTGTACCGTCTGGGTATGCGACAACATCGGACACTTCTTCTTCTTTTGCACTTTGACTTTTCATCCAGTTCTTTCTCCTTTCTTTGTTGTTCAGAATCTTCGAAAACATCTAAAGGATATTATTATTTAGTATTTACTAAATAAATTTATTAATTTACCTTTTGCTAGTATTTAGTATTTTACTATTTAGTTACTATTTAGTTACTATTTAGTAGCATTTGTGTAAATTACTTCATCTCATTAAAAAAAAAAAAAAAAAACTTCATCTCAACTGTAATTGACATCTCTCTCTTTTTGTCGTGTTGTGTTCTGGATGCAGCTGCGGCCGCTTGTATTTGTGTGCAAAGAAAAGGCGCCATGATTAGCATGCCCACCCAGAAAGAAGTGGCGGACCTCTTGGACGACCAGAAGCGCAAGGGACTCATCCCGAGGAACCAAGAATTGAAAAGGAAGGCAGTCGGTCAATGAAGGAAGAAGCCTGCGCAACTGAAGGCCCCAACGAATTTGTTTGCTGAAAAGCCTTAAGGCCGAAACCCCTCCGCTACACCTCCTTAGCTTTTTTCTTCATTTCTTTTTGCCTGAGCGGGTACATCAGGCGCGTCCAAAGGGGCTCGGCCTGCCAAAACTGTGTGGCAGCACCAGCCAAAACAACAGAATTTTCCAAAACAAGAGAATTTTGGGCCGCGCTGGCTCCTTCTTCGTTTTCTCTTCCTTTCTTTCTTTCTACCGTGCAGCGTAATTGGTCTCTCAGGATATAGATCCTCGGGCGTAGCTGTGGTTCTTTAGAGCACTGCATATGCATCAAGCTGCAAATCCGATGCTTTTCGTCCTCAGCGAACTATTGGCAATGGTTCAACGAAAGACATCTTCGAACTTCGAAGCGCATTAATGCAACAAAGTGACGTCTTGCTAAGGAAAACGAGGAAGCAACGTACGACGGCCAGCTACAATGGCATCCTTGAGCAAGCATCCAGGTGCAGCCTGCAGTGCCAAAGAGCCAAAGAGAGACTATAGCAGCCGGCGAACTATTGGCAATAGTTCGACGGGAGGCATCTTTGAAGCGCAGTAATGCAACAAAGTGACGTCTTGCTCAAAAAAAACAAGAAAGTGGCAAGCCGGCAAGCCACGACAGATACAATGACCTCGCTCAGCAAGCATCCAGGTGCGGCCTGCAGTGCCAAAGAGAGAATATAGCAGGCAAAAGAAGTTCAGTTCAATCGAACTACAAGTGGAGCTGATTGAGGGGGTGAAGATGGTGTTGGTTGTCTGGCTGCATGTGGAGGGTGTGATAACCAGGGTTAACAAGTAAGTGGGTAGGCGGGGGGCCTGTTGGGCAGGCAGTGTAGGGTACAGAGGGGCAATGTTGAGAGGGCCCGGAGGGGTAAGGGGGTGCTGCCTCCATTATTATCTATGAGCAGTTAAGGGAAGTCCGTTTTCGTACGTATCTTGAGGTGGATGCGGCAAGATGTGGGGAAGTGAAGGGCGGGGGGGGGGGGGGAGGTGTTCAGACAAAGAATAAAATAGGCCTGTCAGCTAATTGAATGTACCTGGGAGATAAAGAACACCTAGGAGATAATTTTATTGATTTCCCACTGTTCCATAGTTAGTAGGTTCATCTTTCACACTTCTCTGTACCTGTTGGGTGCCTAATGCCAGTCTTGTCCCACACGCAGCTGAACACATACGCACCTCAGATAAATAGATAGATGGAGAGAGAGAGAGAGAGAGAGAGAGAGAGAGAGAGAGAGAGAGAGAGAGAGAGGATGTGTAGGTAGTAATTATGAAGCAGAGAAACGGCGGCACGTGGAGTCGAAACCCAAAGAAAATGACAATAATGATTGAATAATTGCAATGTCTTTGTAAGTTAGAAGGCAAAGCTCTCTTTGTTTAACAAGCTTCAGAAGCAAGTACCAGCAGATGTGTGACATTTCTGAAATTGTGTGCTGAGAGTGAATAGAGGGGGAAGAAGCTGAAGGAGGAGAGAAAGAACATGATTCTCAGTAACCGGATTGCTCAAACACGAAGTCAGTTGCAGCCTATGTGGAAACGGTTGAACTGACAATTGCAATGAACCCAATCTCGTTGAGAATCCGATCAGCAATGTTGCACAAATGTCGTGCAAATGTCGCACAAATGTCGCACAAATGTCGCACAAATGCCGCACAAATCTTAAACCAGCGCTCATCATATTGTCCTCGGGAGAATGCGTTGTTCTTCTCCAGTGGGACGCGCCCACCCTTGAGGGGAGGTGCCTATGTCCTCCGGCCTTGGAGAGGGGTGCAGCTCCAGTAAAGCTTTTTGCCATTGCCACTAAACTGGCATTTCAGAGGGGATGTTAACTTTTTATCACCTGCATTCAGGGGGGATAAGCAAGCACAGAACTGAGCCATGTCTCCCCCGTACGCGTGTAGGACTGTGGGAGCTGTACTGCTTCTTCCCCACAAACTCCTCGACAGCATCGCTGCTGTGACTGAGCAGCTCGAGCTCCATACCTGAAGCATCCATCCTTTTTTTGGGTGGGGGAATCCTATTTCTTTATGCGACTGCCTCCCAACCTTCCTCTCTTGTTATTTCTCCCTAGCGCACCCTGCAGCATCCATCCACTAGGAACCTTCACAGTGTTTGCTCGTCGCTATCCTGGTTATAGCTAAGGGGGTCAACTCAATGTGCGTAAGGTGCATGCCATAGCTGTACCCGGGTTATCTTTTATAATAGGAGTAGGTGCGATAGATTGGACTAGGGAAATAGGTAGTACTGTTTCCGCAGGGATATCAGTGTCCTAGGTGTGTGACTGGTCTTGTAGGCCATAGCTATTTCCGATTGATTGCCTAATTTTGTGGCCAAATTCATCCACGTGCATGTGGTATAGTCTGCGGGTACGGTGAACCGCAGACCAATACCCCATGCACGTGGATGAGAAAAGATTAAGACCAATAAGTCACCAGTGCACCACGGCAGATCGGGTGAGTCCCCAAAAGGAAGAAAGGGCGAAAAAACACTTGTTGATGAACAGCATTGGAAACAACAGAGTCGACACCAGAGAATTGCATGTCGGGATTGTCGGGAATGTTTGCATGGTATCTCATATGCGGATTGCATCAGACAGTCTCTCTCTCTCTCTCTCTCTCTCTCTCTCTCTCTCTCTCTCTCTCTCTCTCTCTCTCTCTCTCTCTCTCTCCGTGTGTGGAAAGTGATACATGCTGTGCACGCAATGTCTATGTTGTGGAAGGATAGATGGCAACGAACAAAAAAGCCGACATCAGCAATTTGTCATCTGCATCTTTTTTCTTGCATATGTGTATGAGAGAGAGAGAGAGAGAGAGAGAGAGAGAGAGAGAGAGAGAGAGAGAGAGAGAGAGAGAGAGAGAGAGAGAGAGAGAACAAAAAGATGCAGATGACAAATTGCTGTCCTGGGTGTTGACATTTTCGTTAAACATAACTCCATAGAAAGGATGACTGTGATGACTGTTACAC